TGCATATAAAATTTCAAGGACCTACAGATGATCTATCAAAAATTATCGGTGCGGGGATACTTTTGTCGGGCACTGTATTCTTTTATTATGCATGACTAGTGATATTTTCGAATTCAAATCATATGTAATAAATATAAAATACGAAAGAAGTCTACTTTGCTTTTTACATAAGTGAGTGAGAGGATTCAAAATGTCTAAAAGAAAGAAATCGGTTCTGAAATTCACAACGCAACACTAACCAACTCGATGAATAAGAACGCGTGATAAATCCAACCAAACTACCGATCCTGAATTTTCATCCATTCAATCTTGAGATTTATCCACGTTTCCAAATTCGATCGACGATTTCCCCGCGCTAAGGTCCGTGCCAATTTCAACAGATAATCTTTTTCTTTAAACGAATAACCATTTTCCGTGGCAATTTCTGTTAATTTTGATTTGATAGTATTTTCGTTGTACCCTTTTCAATTTTAAGAACAATAATTAGAAAGATTAAAAAAATAATATCGTTATTATTACAAAACACACACCTTCACGTTTCTTAATCTCCTTCACAACCCACTGCACAGCGAGCTTCAACGTTTCCTGTTCTTCCATTAGCCCACCACCTTCTTTTTTCCAATTACTTGATACGGGTATTAACTGCGGCGGCCTATCTTCTTGTAATGTACTCGCAAACTCTCGTAACCCTTTTGCCAAAGTTAAAATTTTGTGAGCACGTGCGCAAGTAGCCAAAGCGATTAGTATACGCCGTAGATTCTCTTTGGAATTCTCTTGTTCTTTTGCGACTTTGTTTAGCGCGTCTTTGATGTTGGTTAGTATTTCTTGAATTTTCTGATTATCTTGTGCTGGAGAATGAGAATAAAAAATTTTAATCTAGAATAGATTGGTAAGGAAAGGAGTACAAACAAAAATTACCATTGATATTTTGTATTTGCCGCATCCAATTCTTCATTGGGTTAAATAATGATACTGGGACACCACCTCGACTTGAGTCGCGTTCTATCGGAATTAACGGATCAGACTTTGATCGTGCTGATTCTGGGAATTTGGGAAGCTGCGAAGATGACGTCATTGTAGTTACAAAATTTTGATTAAGGTTGACGGCAGCAATAGGAATCGATATATTCATGGTTGAGTCGACTTGTGGAGCCGTAGAAGCTGCAACAACTTCATCATGTAACGATAATTGTAAATTATCACTATTGATGTTTTCTAAGAAGAATGGGAATGAGATATAATTTTTCAAAGAAAAATATTTTTCCACAAATAAACGAAATAAACACCACATACCATTATTATCTAGACTTTCTTCATTTTTTATTGATATCAATTCTGGTAATGAGTCTACTTCATTATCAATTTCCATCACTTCAATATTTTCTTTTTTAAGATAAATCTGCTTATGAAACTGTTTCGAGGTCTCATTAATCTGATCGTTGGTGACATCTTCTGTTATTATTGTTGATTTGTCGGCATCTGTCATTTCGATGTCGGAAGTAGTGATCGAGGGAGTCATACTTGTTGTGATAGGTGTATTATCAATATTAGTTTGTATTTCTTTTGTTTTTATGGGAGATGTTATTGATGATGTTATTGATAATGTTGCTACAGCGTCTATCATTTCAAGATCATCATCAGTAGTAGGAGTAGTAGCAGTACTAGTAGGAGTGGTAGTAGTGCTAGGAGGAGTGGAATTGGTACTCTCGATACTACTAGCTTTCTTGTTTGGAAAAAGAATAATCCGCTTGCCTTGCCCTTTCTTTGAAGGATTTCTTTTTCCCGGAAATGAACTCTGCTGCGTTCCTAGTGGTGTTCCTGATGACTCTACAAATGTGCTACTTGGACTCAGGGACCATGACGAAGAAGGAGACGCGGGCATATCAATGTTGATAGACGGCTTAAAGTTATCAGGAGTGGAACCGCGCTAAATTATTCATGAGGAACCAAAGAAAATATTAACGATGCCAATTAACGAGACGGAAATGGGAGAGATAATAATAAAAAAATTGGTTGATACTCACTCTTGGCCGGTATGGATTCCCGAATGCAATCAAATTTTCCCATTTCTCGCGTTCAATTCTTTCTTCTTCGTCTTCGAACGGATTTCTGAGCTGTTGAGCTTTGAGTTGTGCGGCTTTTTCGTGATAGTCTGTCATCACGGAAATTGGCAATGAATGTTTTTCGTCTAGTATCATTAAATAAATATAATTATTTGAGAAGGAAATAGTACACGAGATAGGTAATAAAACATTAATATAACATTATCGTTGTTTGTTACCTCCGTCATTTTTATCCTTCCTTTTCGATTCTTGGACAGATTTCTTTTGGTACACTCGTAGCATTTCAAGAAACACGGATTGTGCTTGACCATGTGGAATCTCGAATGGATCTTCGTAAAGTTTGATCTGTATAATGAAGACGAGTAATTAATTCACATATACGAAGAATATGATTTTTCAAAATATCCGTCATTATTAATCATAACTAACCTTCCCTCCAAAAGAAGCAATAGTAGGTTTCTTTGCATTCAAAGATTGCTAAAATAATTAATATATTTTCCATTAATTACAGGAACACGTCAAATCAAATTAAACAAGAAAATCACACATACAAAGTTATTAAAGATATTATTAAAAAACGTTGTCGCATTGTTTCTTATCTCGGTTGTCATATTGTGCAGTAGTTGCTGCGAATCCATCGGGATAATTGATGGATCTAGTCCACGATTGATGATTGCTTGTTGTAGAGGCTTTATTAATTATATTTATTTCGTTAGTTATTAGAGAAATAAATGATGACTATAAAATAATGAATGATAATAATGTAATTAAAATCGTAAACATACAATACGATAATACAACGGGATATCGTTAACATATCGTAACCAGTCCTTTACTATGTTGGTAGGCAAGGCAATCGATTTCTGTCTGTGATCCTTCATTATAGCTGTCAAGTTCAGTTTAATTAAAATTAATAAATTGCGAAAAAACAAGATAAAAAAACATACCGAATCAATTCACGAAAAATTATTTACCTTCGTAATCTTTCATCAATCGCATCAATGCCGGATAATTGTACGGAAGAATATTCAGATTTATCGATAAACGATTATCAAGAGCAACCAAAAACCCAAAAGGCATTCCAAGTCCGCCTTTTTTGTGACTGTTTTTTATATATATCTACGCGTATATAATTTATTATCAATTAATCAACGAAAAAGATCATGTATATTAATATATACGTACCGGCCAATTCGTCCCCGGCGGCATACTAATCAACTGTCGAACAGCAGGACACGAACCCACTGTATACTTTTCGAAAAAGGGCCACACATCAAACCGATAAAGCAGTTTGTAATCCTCTTTCTTATAATATATAGTCGGTATATTACTTCGTCTGATCCGTAATAAATCATTGTAATCTGTCTTTTCACCAATCCACGCGTCCTCAGGTATTGGGAAAAATTTCCGACTTAACAGTTTTTCTGGATCGAAAAAGAGTGTCGTGCGCATTTCTTGCTCTATTTGTCCATCACCTACGTACAGGAATGATGATGGTGAGTAGATGACAAAACTCTAATCAGACAAAAGAAAAATAACGGACAGAAAAGAAGAGATATATGTTTCATTGGTATTGTGTTTCTCGCTACAAACCATTCAATTCTGCCAGATTTATCATCACACATGGATCACGAAAAGGACCGAGCGCTGGAATAGCGGGACTATTATCTATTCGTAAGCCGAAGAGCCTATCTATTGAGGTTGTGATAGCTTTGGTGACTCTGTATTTCTCGTGGGAGACATAATTTGGAGGTTGTGTCGGATATATGTCAAATACTTGCCCTAGATATAGCAGATGATGAGACTTTATATCTCACAATGAATAAAACAAATTTCACTCGTTATTTCATAAATATTCAATATTGCCCACCTCCAGTATCTGTGGTTAACCGGGTTATATCAGGTTCATTGACTGTATCTTCAGATTTTAGAAGGAATGTATAGATATAGTGATCCCATCGATACGGCTTATCAAATAATTGTCCTCCGGGTGTTTGAAGCGTGGGGATTGTTAGATGCTGTTATTTAAAAAAAATTAACAAAGTAAAATAAATGAAATAAATAAACAAAATTTAGTTAAGTTATTATTTATTATGTTGAAACGTTTTTTGGTTTACCCTTCCTTCTGAACTATGAAATTCCGCGCCATTCGTGAACCACAGAATACAAGCTGGTACTACAGAATCCGGGATTGATCTTCCCTAATGGTTTATTTAAAGAATATTATTTATTCGTCATTCTCTTCAATTTGATAAAAATTATAACAACTATACTATTTCTACTACTCACTCTATACGGCGTATCCTTCTCCATCTTCAATCGATGCGAATCAAGTATTTCAAAAATAGTAGCGAGCGCCTGACCCGGTATTGAGTTGTCATTTTTCGGTTGTAAATTCTTTACTTTGTTCAATACACTGTCGATATCTGTCTCGAATAGCATCTAAATTCAATAATTTTATTGTTATGTTTTTTATATAAATGTATACACATATAAAAGATATATCAAAATTTACTTTTATTCCAGCCGGGCTCGGTTCATATGTTACAAGAATGTATTGGTGGTTATGCCGCTCTTGTGGTTTCGATCTCTTTAAGATACATTTAGTTATCAAAAAAGGAAGAATAATTTAATTTGAAAAGTCGAAATTAAAAAAACATGTTACCGAATAAGATACCGCACCATTTCACCTTCCCTCACATTTTTACTAATGGCTTCTAATTTCCTTTTATCATTATATTATATATAATCGAAATGTCCGAGGTACCTTATACAGTAAATAAGAAAAATACCAAACTCAAGAAATAAATTTCCTCTCCTATATATTATATATCTTACACACCGCCAAAAAATACTCAATTCCGCCTCTGGATAAATCAAAACCACTAATTTCCGAGAACTTTTTATTCATAGATACACTAGTATCTAACAGGAACACTATGATCATGTTAACTTTCTTCAATTATAAAAAATAGCGTATACTATAATAATGAAATTTACGAAAAAATTCACGCGTTTCACTATGTACATTTAAATTTAAATTCAGTGTGAAAGGGTCCTATTTATAATTTTTGGGATTCAAGTAAGATCAGCGATCGGAAAATCGGCAAATAATGAGTGAATTTTCAGAACAAAAAATTTTTGACAAGTATCAATTATTTTGCATATCAATCATTTTGCATATCAATCACTTTGCTTATATTAATAATATTAAAAACAATGGAATTATTTCTCAAATTGGGATAATTATAGAAAGACATTATTACTAGACAAATTGCATTAATTTTTATGACTTTATAATCCATCATATAATTTGTTTTTAGAAAGGTTTGTTTAATGCAAAACAAATGGGATTCTAATTTAGAAATAGTTTGAGTATACAAATTTACAGGTTTGAAATCATATCCAAAGTTTGAGTCTTAATATCTTAATAACAAATGTAATAATCTAAGATGATTTTTATTAGTTATCAATAAAAAAATGTTGCAACACTTTTCAATATATAATATATAATAAATACATAATTATATAATTATATATAAATTCTCTGATTAGTATTTTACTTTTAATTTATGTATAGCAATCTTGTCCAGATACTTCGAGCACGTTTAATAATTTTTCTATACAAGATTTGGTTAATGTAACGATAAGTATACATTTAATAATTCAAAAAAGATAACGATAAGCAACAGATTTTAATTATATATTTCTATAAATTGCCTACTACGCTAAAGTATTGTCTCAATGCATCTGCCAAAGTCTCAGGCAATGCATTAGTATCACGCAATACTACATAATAATCAAATGGAAAAGTGTCTAAATATTTTTGCATTCTAAGCATCATTCGTCCATCAACTTGACTGTATTTAACATGATTCATGGACATAATAGAATCCTTTTCGTTAGGTTTATTGTCCACGATAATAAAGATGACCATAATTTGAGCTTCGGCCGCTTGTCTAACCAACGTTTTAAGACTTTCGTGATCTTCGCAGACACCATCGGATATGATAATTTGTAATTGCCAAAGTTCGGTATTTCGTGATGCACCACCACTTGTACCTATATTATTGACTCTTGCGTGTTTCAGCAGGCCGATTGTAGTATCCATTAATGATCTGACAAGTGTTTTATCCTGTTCAAAGGTAAACTGTTGTAGTACTTTTGCCCCCGCTTCCGCAGTAAACGGTTGATCGAAAGGATGCAAAATACGAACATCTTTACCGAAACTCACAATCGAGATTGCACCAACTTCAAGTTGTGATAAAGCTTTAGAAATTAACGCAAGAGTTTCATAGGCGAGTTGTATCGAGTGAGTTTCACACATTGATTTTGAATCGTCAACTGCAATCATCACTTGATACTGTCGTTTACTTGGTTTTGTACGTCGAAGCCAGATTTTGTCTTTTTTGAAGTCACTGGCAATATAGGGAATAATTTTTTTCATGTTGAGCCGTTTTCCCGTTTTATAGTCGCCTTTAAGTCGCGTGGCCATTGTCGGTTCGAGAATTAATCGAAGTTGTTCACAGAGGCCGTTTGCAAGCTCATGTGTTAGGCTGTCATATTTTTGCCAGAGATCTCGAGCTTGAGTGGCATCACGACCATTTTCGCGCCATTCTGATAATTCCATTTCTAGGTAATCTCGCATATTAACAAATTGTTCTTGAGGAATTGGCGCATGAATCATATTAGACTTGTCCATAGTTTGAGAAACAGATTTATCCTCTTCGTGATCATTTTCACTTTGATGAATCTCTAAATCTTTTATTCTTTTGTTTAGGATAGCTCCTCCCATTCCCTCTCGAGTCTCAAGATTATTATTACCAAGTTCTTTTTCAAAAGTCTCTAGATCTTTTTCAGGAGGCGTGTTATCGATACCCAATTCAATATCCTCGACAGCGTGCTCAGAATTCTGATACATATCTTCATCGCCATCATCTATTGCACCAATTATACCCATTTCTCGAGTTTGATCTTCTGTAGCAGGGCCCATTGTCTGCATATCATGTGATGTTTCATCGTCTTTCAGATACTCAAACATCTTTTCATCGTTAATGTGATTTTCTTTTTGCTGGTCTTCCTGATCAGGTTCGTGGTTCTCGGTAACCGAATTATCTATATCATTAATATTGAGTCGTTTGCGCCATTGCTCCATCGCATCGCCTAAACTACGATGAGGATTGGCATCCTGTATTTTTTCTTCAGCCTTCGGTTTTTTACTTTCTTGCCTTTCACCTTCGTTATCTTTATTAATTTGAGTTGCATTTTGCTTATGCTCGTTACTTGTAATACCCATTAGTTGATCAACATCATTTTGCACCGAATTATTAAGATCAAAATCCAGAGTCCGATTTTCTTTCTGTGTAGATGAATTTTCTCCTGTTGACAATTCAGTAGTTTTGCCAACTTCGCCTTCGACCCCAAAAGAATGCTGATTTTTATATTGAATATCTTGCAATGTTGTTTGTTCTTTCGTGGTGTTCTGTATCGCAGATGGTTCTTTATTATCCGGATCTTGCAAGTTATCGTCATCTTTGAGATTTCTTGGACATTGATCCAATTTGTCTTTAGATCTTTCTCGGTCATCTTTATCTTCTTGTATTATCTCTTCTTCAGTTTGCATATCGTCCGATTCTTTTTCATTGGTATTATTATCGTTGCTATTATTACTGTTATTCTGCGCAAGGTCCTCTATAGAATCTTCATCATTAACTTTAACAGAACCATCGAGCACATCCTCCATCATAGTTTCTTCTTGTACATTTTCTTCTGACCCCGTCATCTCTGGTTCATCGATATCCATATTTCCAAAAGCATCATCCAGGTTTCCTTCCGGAATTTGATTTTCTTCTGGCTCATTGGGAATGTCGCCACCTTCGTCCATCCTTAGCTCATCTGGTAGCTCTAGAGTTTCAGCTTCTGGAACTTCAATTAATGATTGCTCATTTCGTTCATTATTATTATATTCATCATCGCCAACATCCTGTTCAGCTTCATTAAACTCTTTTTCCTGTTCTTCCAAGTTTACATTTACATCTCGGTTCGTTTCTGTCTCTTGTTGCAAATCTTTTTGTTTCTTTGACTCATTATCTTGATTTTCATTATCTTTAGCAACAATCTCAGTCTCGCCATCCTGATCATTCGTTTGTTCGTGATCAATCGTCTTCCCATTATCATCAACACCTTCAGCAGAATCGTCTCCCCACATTTTTTCGTCGACGACATCAGGATCAGAATCATCAAGCTTTCCGATTTGTTCATCTAATTCCGATCCATGACTTTCATCATCATCATCACCATCATCATCATTCTCACTCACTTCTTGTGTATCAAGATCTTCCAGCTCACCCTCGAAATCTTTTTCCATTTCTATTCCTTTCTCTTCCTCGTCTTTCCCTTTCGCGCGATTCTCTGATGATTTTTCGTGATTATCAATGTCATCTTGTGTACCCAGCACTTGCTCTTCATCCTCAATCTCTTCACTCACGTCTTTACTTCCTTCGCCTTCTCCAATCCCGGTGCCTTGGACTCCATCTTGTGCTGTACCACCTTCACAATTTTCAGTTTCCTGATCTGGCATACAAAAACCTTTCATAAAGATCGTAGTGAATGAATTTATCAACACGTATGCAAGTTTGCAGATTGATTTGTGATGAATGAAAAGTTGTGACAGATAGTATTGTAAAAGTAGAATGTATTGTTTTATGAATGGAAATATTCGTTGAATCAAAAAGGTGAGTAAATGTCGATTCTTTTTGGTATTGATATGGTGGTCGTCAAAAATTATAGATAGTGTTTCGTGAATTGCATCATAACAATCTATAAAGGCATTGAGATTCAACCGGGTGATTATTTCGACGAATATTTGATGCTCGGATCGAATAAATCCATCGGGCATATCATCAATTATTTGTGCCTTAGTTTCATCGTTGCTGTTATTGTTAGCTAATGGTTGATACTCTTGTTTTGTTGCTTTTTTATCTTTTTCCATTTTCAAAAGATTTTGAACCGTTAAAAGTACAGCATCAACTAAACCATTAGTCATATGCAAAAGTTCATCGATTACACATGTGGTCTCATCATCTTCATCATCAAGTAAAACTGCTTCATTCGAATGATGATATCTGTTCTTATATAAGCCAATACAGTTAACAATCGATAAGAGGAAATGCCGCGATTGAGGAATACGATGGCACAAATTCTCGACGAAATCGTAAAGTAAGTTTACTGTTTTCATATTATTTTGAATTTTGATGATTATATCTTCAGTGATGAAAGCTTTGTGTGCATTGGTAAAAGATGGGTGCAATATCACTTGTTCATAGATTACGAGAACATCTTCTCTAGTTTTAATCATTCGATCAAGCCAATTTGACAATCGACTTTGATATTGAGAATCAGTCGAACCCATAACATCAACATCTTCACTGCCAGCAAGAAATTCTTTTTGTATATTAATAATTAGACAAGCATAAGCTAACGAGTTAACCAAATCATCCAAGAATTCTTTGTGTGCACAAAATGCCTTTTCGTCGATTTTATTCAAAGATAAGGATAACTTGGATTCATCATTAATATCATCATTGTTGTTGAAAGCTGCAGCATGATACGAGGTATAAATTCTTTCGAACTGAGATCCTGATCTAAAAATATAGGTAAATTTTTGTTCGACTTGATGCAACGTCAATCTCTCCGCAATAATCAAGTGTAACAGATCTTCAGTGAAACTAAGACCTTTTCGGATCTCTAGAGAGGTCAAGTCACGAGACGGATTGTTTGCCACGTATCGTAGATGCGTCATTCGAGCCACGATTCGATAATAATAATCATCAGCTTTTTTCAAAGATTCGATATCTTGAGTTGCTTGATGAGTAGTTGTTATTGCTGATTTCAATCGCTTTGATTCCATAGCCTTTTCAAAATTCAATCGTGGAAGTTGAAGTAAATAACCAACCAAATTTTGTTGCTGTTCAACGCGTTTACTTTTCATGAATGGATCGAGACCAAGTCTTTTCAGCTCTTTTAAAAGATCAACCAAAGCTTTCTTTTTGATCATCTTTAAAGCCTTTACTGAACTTTTATTTTCGTCATTCATTAGAGCTGGCGTCTCCTCTTGAAGCGATTTAATACGTAAAATAAGTTGAGTGGCAAATTCATCAAGGGCTCTTTGGTAAGTCGGACGTTTTACGAATATATCATTGATGCAGTAAGAATAAAGTTTCTCAAGAGTCTGATTAATATTTATGAATCGTTCAGGTATTGCCCAAATGCGTTTACTATTCGACAGATCTAACAATTCCCGTACTTGTGGAGATGGCGGGTCAGGCAAGAGTTTATAAATCCAATTTTCTTGATTGGAAGAGAGTTCTGGAAATGTTGTTATTGCATTTGAGGTGGTGTTGTTGGATGATGAACTCGATTGATATGCTGTGATAATTTCGGTAATAGGTTTATCCAATACTTGCTTATACTTTCGAATGCATTTACTCAGATGTCGATGTGTCTTTTGTGCACTCTGTTTCAATGCGTAAATGTTGATATCTTTCCAGCTCGCAAGTTTTACAAAGTCTTTTAGATCTTTTTCGATTGGTTTACGCATTTCCGCCAAGCTTTTGTCATGTTGAAATAAAAATTGTGAATAGTATTTGTAGACATTATACAAAGCGTCAGCTGCTTGATTATAGTAACTTGAAATAGTAGCTGCTGCTTCTTGATCATCTCTTTCCTTCGGTGCTTTTTGAAATTCGAGATTTACACACAAGTGGAGATAAAAAGAATGAATTAAATCAAGTCGAGCCGGGAAATCTCCCAATTTCGAAGATTGCAAAAACTGATCAAGTGACTCGACAATTTGCGTAATATATTTTGTAATCTCTTCTTTCGCGATAACTTGACCCTTGAACCTATCAATTGCAGAAGAAACAACACAATTGTAAAGATGAAACCACCACTGGTATGCAGATTCAGCATAATATTTATCTTGAGCAGCCAACAAATTCGGCCAACAATTCAACTCTAATTGTCTCCAGGCAACGATAAGACAGGTAATTTGGTCAAGTTGAACTTTGAGCGAGACCCGGCTGCTCGCGTAAGCTTCCCATTCTGCGGATTTTTGTAAGAGCAGTTCAAGACCTGTCAAAAATTTTGCAATTGGTGAATTCAGAGCGAAACTTTTGATCCGTATGCTGATCTCGTAGAGTTGTAGTAGGACGGCGTGATCTGGCCATTCTTCGAGTAAATCTTTTATTCTTGTTTGGAATTCTGATAAGATAGGATTTAATTTTTTCGCTTCATTTAAATTCGGATCTCGATAGAAATCATAAATTTGTTCATTCTTATTGTTGTTGTAATTATCGAATACTATTTTAAAATCTTGTTGGTTACCATTTGATAACCAGTCTTTAAGAATGAATGTGCCGAGCATTTGCGTTGATTGCATCTCAAAATCTAAACTCTCAGGGAAAAGCCTATGCGAAAAGGTGAAAATATCTCTTGCCATCTTGAATGCGGACCAAAATATATTTTTCGATAAGTTCACTCGATCAGAATTATCTATAGTGGCATCAAACCGCGACGGAGAAGAGGAAGAGGATGATGAAGAGGAAGCAAATGCATATGCAGGATAGAAATCCTTATTAAATTTCTCAAAAATAGATCCAATTTGAATGATAATCTCATTATTAACAATCATTATTTCTTCGTCATCATACTCCAATGATTCACTATTAGAATTCTCTTTATCATCATCATCACCATTTTCATTTTCTTGAAACTCGCGATACTCTCTGTTGAAATCAGGAAACAATTTTTTGACTTCATACTCAACAGCCGAATGGTCATCATCATCTCTAAAGACAGTAGACTGAGTTTTAGCCTTTTGCTTATATAAATTTTCAGTCTCCTCCGTTTTTTTACGTTGATAATCTTGCGCAGCAGCATACACACTCGCAATTTCAGAATACAATTTGTCAATAGTTTCCAAATCCTTATCAACGAAAAACTTTCCACGCGAAACGACACGGTAATATACACATTTGAGAACGGTGATAAGGTATTGAAGATATTGTTCAGAGTTCATTGGGGAAGAATAATTTTGAAATATTATTCGTTTTAGACGAGGCATTGTTTCTTGGGAACAGAGCTTTTCGATGGAATGATCGAGATCTTTTGTGGAGTTGTTCATTGTTCTTGAGATTTTTAATAAAGCCATCAGAATAGAGTGCAAGAAATTTGTGTTATTGTTTTCATAGTGAAGGTTGTTATCGTGGTCATCGTGATCATTTGAAATAATTCTTGAATGTGCAGCGATTATTCGTACTCCGTATTTCAATTGATATACTGCGGTAATTAATGGATGCGTGATATCTCGGAAAAGAGGATAATTTTTCGAAAGTCGATTAATAAACTGAAAAGTTTTACTTTGGAATAAAGCTTCTCGTTGATATATCGATAAATCATTGTGGTAAATTGGTTTCTTAAGGTCCATCAAAAGCTCATTCATATGTTTCATGTCAACCACATTATCACATAGATAACGGATATGCTTGAACAGGTCGGTAAGTGCATGATCATATTTATCTGGCCGTAGTGTCATGTTTATTTTAGTCAATTTCAACTCTTGTAAGACAACCTCTAATTCTTTTCTTCGATTATCGATAATAGAATTTGTTGATTCCCCGGTGATGTATTGCTGTATCTTTTCACGAACTTGAATCTCAGTTTCTAGGTTAAGTTGTTTATTGTTGAGGAAGTCGTGGGTTAGACGAGATTCTGAGGTTGGATCGGTCGGATAATCTGGAACGTATAAAGCAATAAAACCGAGTGACAATAGTGTCCACGTTTTTCCCATGAGAGTGTTCAGGTTATTATCATTGCTGGTGTTGACTGTCATTTCATCTAGCTGGCGAGAAATTATCTGATGAATTAATTGAATAGCTGGGATAAAATACGAGTTTATCATTTCGTGGAATTTCGAATCAACGACACTGGCTTCTTTGAGAATTTTTTCTGTCATTTGAAGCGAAGATAAAGTAACTGATGACATCTCAACAGATAATGAATGTGTGCGATTGATGTATTTATCATCGTCAGTAACATGATTGATTATATCATTGCTATTTGTTTCAGAAAGCAATGTTGGTACGGTATTACACGTCAAATTCTCAAGCGTTCCGGATAGATTGTGAAATGTCCCAGCGTCAAATTTTTCACGGTGAGTTACTAGGATCTGATAAACAAATAAAATTATTATTATTATTATTATTATTATTATTAACAAGATATGCTTTAAAGAGAATCTAATAAGATCATTTAAATTTATTATCCTTACCTGAACCAACTGAAGAATCAAGCAAGCGAGATCAATTTGGCGTCTGTTAACGTAATAAGACATTTCAGCTACGACCTGTTTCGCGAATTCATTCAGACAAGAAAAGTTCTCGTCGTATGATCCAATCGACATTTGTTCCAAGGAATTACTGTTCATGAATTAACGATTCTCATTAACATCGCGAAATCAATAAATAGATAGCAAAGTGAGAAATAGAGTGATTTAACGATGATACTCACGCGTAATTAAAATAGCAACCAGCAAACACACTTTGAAATAGTCGCGAAGGACCTTGTGTATTGTGGATATACTATTTACATATTTTTAAACAAATATAAATATAAATTATTAATATTAAATATTTAAAGTTTTCGATCAACAATAAATGATTAACGTTTTAATAATCTCCTTACGTCGTTATTGATCAAACCGGATGACGAAAAATTTATACCTTCACTTATAGTACCAAACGTCGCCGGGATTTTTTTTTCCATCGAAAAATACTCATTGAAACTTATTTGCCATAATCGAGCTTGCCATCCACATAGTATTTCTTGAACAATGTTGGTGTATATGGATGCGGCTTTTTCACTCGGTACTATATTACAAAAACAAATAATAATATAAATAAGTATGTATATACGTTATGTATACATAAAAAAAAATTACCATTCGAATCACGCCCATAAATCCACAACAGTCGTTGATGAGGGACAAAATCTAGTGGAGATCTCGTGGACTTCTGTATTGAAAACTCGAGAAGTTTGTAAAGTTCGTCGAGTATCGGGTAAAGTTTATCCTTAACCCGTTCAAGAAAAAATTTGTTTTCAATTTATTATTACAGAGATAATTATTTTCATTAACGAATGTGTATGAAGAAAGTGCGATAGAGTATAAACGATAAGAATGACACAATAAAAATACCTTATCAAGATCAGGCTCTTCAAATGATCCAAGCAATTGAAGTTTGACGAGGATCTGCATCTCTTTCACAATGCTCATGAAATCAAAAATAGAATAAAGGTGTTGTTTAGGTTGTTGCTCGTATATTTTAGTACTATTTATTAATGATGATGATGATGATGAGTCTTGTTGATTTTCTATTTGGTTGCGTATATGCTATTTTTGAATAGTGATAATTATGGGTTAATATTTTTGATTGTTAAATACAAATATAAAAAATAAGAGTTAGCATGTTTTTATATCACTTACAGATGGGGTTTTTTGAATGGAAGCGAATAATTCACGCGATTCAGGGACTGAATGGTAATTCTCGTCAATGAAATATAAAGTGACGATAGCATCAATCAACATTCTTTTCGATTCTAAATCTACTCTGGTCATATTCATCATCATTAATTTTTGATCACCTATATTTGTGATAAAAACATGTAAGAAATACAACAAGAAAAAATTAAATCAAACTAAAAATTCCGTTAAAAATTATCCAACCAACCTTGCCTACTCTCATCATAAAAATCAAACAACTCCCCACCAACACCACGCAACTCTTGTTCCAACTCATAAAACTCCATCCTAGTAATCATGACCGGATGAAATCTTTTCCACAGCAAATTCATTGATATTCCCGTGTTCACATCAACCTCTTTTCGTAGCGTATCTACCAGGTCTAAAAGCGGAAGAACTAATTTCTCACCGCCGACTCCAAATGTTTGAAGAAATTCTTTAGAGAGCCGGTGCATAAAGGCGAGGCAGGTTTTAACATTTCCGAGATTAAGTTTGGTAGTGGCGGTGGAGGTACATTGTCGCCAAAAGAATTCACGATAGTCCAAGAATTTGTGGATGAATAAGAACATCTAAAAACAAACAAACCAATTAATTATTTAAATAAATATTATATAAAAGAATGATTGATAAATCAATTGAAAATTATCAAATTCAAGTCCTACCTCAGTGTTATAAAAAACTTTGTTCTCTAGAAAATCATCAATCAATCGTCTAAACCTCTCAAAAAATGGGTAAATCGCAACCATCACTGGATGTTCTAATTTTTCATTATTATTATAATTCGCCGGTAGTTGCTGTTGTTGTTTCTCAATTTGATACAAATAAGATTGTTGAACTATAGATAATCGCGAGGCCTTTTTACGAGCTACTTGCTGATAATTAACATTCTCAATATATTCATCACGTTTTACGCGCGTTAATAGTTCGAATTCTTTAATTTTAATCAAGTACGCATTCCATAGTGTACGGATTATTTCGTTATTTTCCATCCCGTTAACAAATATTTTTACTAGATCCGGATTATTTGTAATGTCGAATGGCTAGATGTATATTTTGATAATAAGTAGCAGTTATTAAAGTATCGCGTGAAAATAATAAACAAACAAACATGCTAAAACAGAATTTTACCTGATTTGCAATAAATCTCTCGTCCAAGTTGACCATTTTAGCTAATTGACGTTTATATTCGACAATTTGTGCAGCCACAGGATGTTGAAATAGATTCCCATGTAAGAAATGAAGTATCTTTATAGAGCCATGTTCTGGTACAATACCAGACTTCATATTCGAAGATAAATAATTTAACCATCGTGTGCACATAGTATAGTCATTTGGAGATATATTTTCCAGTAAATGTGCACTCGCAAAACGTTCAATAATATCACTATCAATATTTTCAGTAATATCGAGAAGACGTTTCTGCAATAAATAATAAAGATACGCGCCATGAAGTAAAATTCTTCCAATAGTTGATTCTTCTCTGAATATATTTCCGCCAATAAATAAAGGACAGTTGGTAGGCGATAACGAATTGATCAAAGTTGTCTCCTTTGATAACACCCGGTCTGTATCGAATTTTTCAAGAAAAATATAATCTTTTTCATAGTCTAATGTATCATAGATTTGTCTTGAAGTATTCTGTAACGCAGATTTTAATCCATCACCGCGTTGTAATCGCTCGAGCACAATTTGAACAAATTTCAAATAATTTCTTGGACTGATATTTTTTGAGATTCTTTCCATCTCTTTATGAATCCCTCCAACCAGTAATGGTAACTCTTCTCCACGAAAACCAATTCCGTTAGCCAGTTTAATCAAATCTCGTGGATTTTTGGACCAATCGGCATTCAATAAAGATATTTCAACGCCACGATTCCGCATGGCGCGTGATAACTCACCATTTCGCGGATCAACAGTCATGAATAATCTGAAGTTTTTGTGTGGTCGTATGACTTTCAGGTTGCCGTTATCATCCTGTCCTCGTTCATTCAACAACAGGAATCCGTTGGGCTCTATTACGGGATTCAAACGATCTAGCACGGATGGATTGCAGAGATTCGCATTATCGATTAGAAGCCAATGACCATTTTCTAGAGCGTTGATTAGCACTCCATCAATCCATTCAAAGCGTCCAGAAACCGACTCATTTTCTAATTGTTTTAATGTCATTATTCTTTGAGATACTTTTGAATAATATGAATTGAATTCGAATAATTCGAAATTTGTTATATTCTGATCAACAATTTCGAGAATTCGATCAATTATTCCATAATCAATAGTTTGCTTTTGATCCGAACTTAATTTATACTGATTCTCTAAGGTAAATAACAAATCATTCAACTGACTAATAATATGCAAAACCTGTTGCTTTTGCATATCTATCGTCATTGAAGAAGACGACTCAGATTCTCTTAGTAATAACAAACTTTTAATGAATTTATACGACAATTCACTTAATTCTTCCAAGAAAGAGCGACGATGTCTTGCCAAATCCAATTGTTCAAATCCGCCCAATAATTCAACAGTATCCACGCCACTATTCATTGCATATTCTTCCAAATGGTTGTCGGTCAATTGAGCCAATAATCGAATCATGGATGTTTTACCGGAAGCTTCAGGACCATTCAAGATGACCATCCAATTCATCTCTACACATTTCATGATTGCCTGTAAAGGTTGTAAATCCGATTGCAGTAAATGCAATTGATTTTCTAAGGTTATGCTATTCATACGAGAAGTATTTCTTGGAAGAATAGAATTTCCAATTTGCAGGTAATTGGTATCGATATGAAAACTAGGTTGTTTTGGTGACTCGTATATTTCCGAGTCAAAAATTTGATTGTATATTGAAATAACATAATCCTTGTCTTCAGCGGTTCTCATTCTTTGCAGGTAAAGTAGATCCAAGTAATTACTAGGTTTAGCTTTAAAATCTAATCCCGAATCTTTCCGCATAAGTTCTAACCAACGAATTACGTCACGAAGATTAAACTCCCAAGGACCTCCTCTACGAGCAAACTCACACCGAATCATGGTACTTTCATAGATACACGTATTGAACTCTATCATTCGAGACAAAGTTGACAAGTCAATTTCTGAGAATAAACTTTGTGATATATAGATCATGTCTTCTTTTGTGAGCTGTTCGAGGTAAACTTTGATGAATCGATTAACAAAAGATTTTGGTAATCCTTTTCGTCCGCCTCCTTGTTGAAATGGATTTTGAGCGCCAATTACTCGAAATTCGCTAGCACAGCTAAATTCCATATCTAATTCAGGTATATAGACCGAACCACGATGATCTAAACAAGAATTTAGACCTTCAAGTACTGATTGAGATGCAAGATTCAATTCATCCAATAATACCCAATCTCCAGTTTGCATCGCCTGCAAAAAGGGAGCATCTCGCCATGCGAATTCACCACCATGGCCTCCTTCGACTGGCAAATCAGAACCAAATAGATCCATTAGATCAGTTTGTTCTGAAAGATTAATGCGGACAAGTCGATGACCAGATGCAGCTGCCAAAGCTGAAATTAAACTTGTTTTTCCAACCCCTGGACTACCCTCAAGTAAAATTGGCTTTTTGAGTTGCATGGCACGCAGCACTCGAAAAGCATTATCAAATGTTGTTGGAGCCTGCAACTGAAATTTGACTGTATCATGACCAGTATTTAAAGGACCTCTTTCGATATAAAAAGGATTAATGCCAAAATGAGTTTCAGCTGAAATAATTTTATTCTCAAAATTATCTACAATTTCATCGTCATCTTCCACGAGTTGTGATAACTTTTTGATACATTTTTCACGAAAGTTTTTAAACACTACATCTGAACTCGATAAATCTGATCCAATTCTATCCAACAACACTAAACATCCACCTTGCTTAAATGCAACAGATTGTTTGAACTTTTCATCCAACGTGGTAATAATATTCATAAAAGTAACCCAAGTCAAAATATCCCTTAAACTCATTATTTCTCGAGTCTTTCCAACAGATTGGGAATAATACCATTCAATAAACGCAAGAATACATTCTCCATATCCAAGTAAAGTTGAATTATTGAATTGTGTGGTGATAATTTTCAATAAATCATCACGATCAGTTACGGGAGGAACCCAGATTTCAGTGAATCGATTTCTTAAAGCGGGTGATAATTCTTTCTTACCGTAATCACCGCCAGGATTCATCGTAGCAAGAAATTGAAATTCGTCGTGGGCATTTAATTCTTCGACGCATCGACCACCTTTCTCTGGTAATACGAGTAATCGATTTGACTCGAGTACACTATTTAACCGTTCTATTACCGAATCATCTGCCAAAGAAATTTCATCTAACAGAAAGAGTTCGCCTTTTCCCATGGCTTTAATCAATGGTCCATCATACCATTGAAATAATGCTCGGGCTTGTTGACATCTTACTCGTAATGATAATACAATTTCATGATTATTCGGCATGACTTTATTCCCTTTTATGCCACTTTCAAACAAAGAGATTAACTGATCTAATTCCAAATCATTTGTAATAGTTTCTTGTGACGATAGATGCATGCTCATAAATGTAATTAAATCATTTTTTAGTTCTGCATTAAAGTTCGCTTTATTTCTCACGGGCCTCTGACCTCCAAGTAAATCCGAAGTCTCAGTATTTTGATGGCAATTTACAATGTGTATCGCTTTATTTTTCGCTTGTGCAATCATTTGACATACTGTCGTTTTGCCACATCCAGTTTCGCCAATTAACAAAACGGGCTCATTGAACCTTAGACAATGAGACACAAGCGTGAATAATCTTTTCATTGATTTCGTCCATACGATATCATTTTTATCGAGTTGCTTGATCGAGCTCAAGTATTGTTGATATTCATTCAGATTAGCGCAATCATACAATAATTCCTCATTAATCTTTACTTTCATAACTGTTTCTAAAACATTCTTGACTACAAGTTTCTCGTCGGGTTTTCGTATTCTTTCAGCTAGCAACATATAACCGTGTTCAGCTAATTCCTGATAACTGATAGCTCCTCTTCCAGCCCAACGAAATAAATCTCTTAGAGTAATATAGCCATGCTTTTGTTCGAAAATCCTTGTTCCCTGTCGTTTCTCCATCAATTGTTTATATACTTGAACAAGTTTTTTACCATATGAAGGAGCGATTCTACATCTCTCTGAAAGAATAGTTTCCAATTCCTCATCGGGTATATCATCGAAATGAAGTTCCAGGAATCGATTACGAAACGCGCGCGATAAAACTTTTCGTCCACCGTATAATCCTGGAGGATTTTGTGTAGCAAATAACATAAAATCTTTGTGAGGTTCAACAACTTGCTGAGTCTCCGGAATCAATAGTTCCCTATTGTCATCGAGAAGTCTATTTAATGCCTCAAGAACATCTGAAGGAGCTAAATTTAATTCGTCGAGAACTATCCAATATCCATTCTTTAGTGCTTCAACTAGCACACCTTCTTGAAATTCTAATTTTCCTTCACTATTAGAAACATATGTTCCGAGATATTCTTGCAAGTCCGTATGTTCATGATTGTTTATTCGGACAAATCGATGACCGGTTCTTTTTGCCAAATACTCAATCATGCTAGTTTTTCCGGCAGAAGTTGGTCCTTGAATTAATACCGGAAATTTTTTACTAGTAATCACTCTTGCCAGACTATTTAATTTTTCTTTAACTGATTTTGTCAATATATAATGTGGCATTTCCTCGATCGGATAAATTCCACGTTCAAGCCAAAAATATCCAAACTGAATAAAGTTTCCGTTTAGATCGATGGTAGGTTCACGCGGAATTCGAGAAATCAATTCACGTGGATTCTTAACTCCCCTTAATAAGAAATTTTCAATTAATCCACGCATAGTTATTTCGCTTTCTTGATTCAATTGCGTCAAAAAAGTCATACAGAATCCTTCGTATATTGAACGTCGAAGCCCATAAACTGGCATAATTTGTTTGACGTAGATTAAAGCACGAGCAAGTGTTCTCATACTAAAGTGTGGTCGTTGGTTAGCACCATCCGCAAGTTTGTGTTCCTTTAATAAATTCTTAGCTGCCAAATAAAATTCGACAATATCCATAGGAACGTGTTCATCGCCGTGCAAGCATCCCATGAGATATTGTTTAACAAATGCAATTAAATCATCTTGATTTGTGTCAGGAGGATGGACATAGAATTCAGTAAAGCGATTACGTAAAGCAGGTGGTAAATCTCGTTTTCCCACATCTGTTGCAGGATTCATACAAGAGAATATCCGAAAATTAGGATGACGCTTTATCCTTTCAGTATCTCCTTTTTCCGTTAATAAGATTGAACCTTGAGAATCTTGCAGCAATCCGCTGAGACATTCAAGCGTTTCTGTTGATGCCATATTAATCTCATCCAATAGAATCCAATCGCCGTCAATCACAGCCTTGACCAACGTTCCTTCAACAAAACTAAACATTAATTTTCCTCGAATCTGTGTATACTGGAATTGAAATTTATTCACCGAATCAGCGAAAATTTTCCATCGTTGCCTTAATTCTGGACTCGCTGATTTCGAAGATTTATTGTTGTTATTCTCTTCCCGATCAAATTCATTATTAAATCGTTTCTCGGCCATTTCAACAGCCTGCATTAATAATGTAGCAAATTTTTCAAATTTTCTTGTGACATACATTTTTCTTACCATATCCAAAAATTTTGGATTTCGTTTTATAGAGAAAGTTCTTTCGAAAAGAACATCAAATTCTTCCTTTAATGGTGTTGCAAGGACTTTGGCATCGACCGGTTTAAATCCTCCGAGTAAATCACTACTATCACTTTGTTGTGATAAATTAACCACCACGAGCTTCTGCTGCAATAAATCAGCTAAATGTTGTACTACAGTAGTTTTGCCTGTTCCTGTTTCGCCCACTAAAAGAATCGGTTCACATAAATACACGCATACTGCTATTTTTTCAAGTAATCTTAATGCGTGTGATGTGTTCGCAAAAATTGATCGATTTCCTTTTTTTGATTTTGATAATAGTAATTTATTCTGTTTGCTATTACTGTCAAAAGGTTTTAAATTTGCACGACCAATCGTAATCAGGTATTTACTGACATTCAATGTTGGAATATACGCGTTTACATATGATCGTACGCGCTCTTTTGGTATCAACAATGCCTCACCGACATATTCTAATACTTTTATCCAATCTTCATAATCAGAAATCATTCCGCAAAAACAATCTGCTGCTTCACTGAAAAGATCCTCACGGATTTTTTGATCAAGTCCCTCGGATGTGATAATTTCTCGCTTGTTTCCTATTAAGATGCTAATTCTATAGCACCATTTCATTAAATCACGCGTTGAAGTAAATCTAATAGCCGACAATGATCTCATTCCAGAAGAATTAAACTTTTCGTATAATAAAGTGATAGATTTAAACACATGCATTATACTAGACGATAACTCTTGTAAATTAGGAAATCGAATATTAATGATATGAGCTAATTCCTCAAAATCAAGATTATCAATTTTAATTTTTGTCCAGAGATTATAGCCCATAATATTGTTGCTATTAGAATATTTTATCGATCGAATATTCTTGTCGTTTAGAATTGCTTTCTCTGGCAACAGACTCTTAGTGGCGAATATTTGAAAACCTTCTTTTGCCTTAATTACTTCGCCTCTGCTAGGAATAAAAAGTTGACGCGTTTCTAGTAATGGAATTAAGACTGAAATAACTTCGGATGGGGCGAGATCGATATCTTCTATTAGAATCCATCGACCTTCGCGTACAGCTGTCGTTAATACACCCGGCTGCCATCTGAAAGAAGCTGGGGTAGACGTAGAAACATAGGTGCCAAGCAATATTTTTGAGTCGGTTTGATCTCCAATATGTATTCGAAGAAGCGCTGAAATCAAATAAATGTTTATATATTAATTATCTAAGTAAATCAAAATACTCGAAAAAATAATGATTATATACTTTCGGCTCTATTTGTTACATTGGCAACTTCTTCCACTAATGCAGTCTTCCCTGAACCTATTATTCCTTCGAGCAAAACAGGAGCACCAATAGAAATGGCTAAAGCGATTGAATTGATATTACACTGCGTAGTCTTTGTCGCAACAAGTCTTTGTAATTCCTTTGATGATGAATTATTAACAAACGATGATGATGACGCGTTATTATGATGAAACTTTGGAAGTAAAACTCCACAAAGATTAATAATATTTGAAGATAAATTTGATTCCTTAAAGAATCGATATTTTTGGAGATCTTTTTGATGATTAAAATCATTATTAAATAGAGATAATTGCTCTGACGCAATATTTTCTTGCTCTATTAATCTTTTTTAAAAAAAGATCATAATTGAATTAATATAAAAAACACAAATGTTAACGCTAGCACAAAATAAAATAATTTTATTTTTATAAGTATATAATAATAAACAATGAGAGAACGCACGTTAACATTCCAAGGTCTAAAATTCGCCCGTTTTCCCATTCCACTAGCATTTTTTCACTATTTTCCGAATCTGCAACCCATCTTTCAAAAGCCTGATGCCTCTGGCTATCATTCATATTAAGTACATAACTTAGACAACATATCACCAGATATCGAATCGAAAGATTCGAATGAGATAGTAATTTATATAGAGGAGACCAATCCCATAGTTGTGAAAACGTGTTTTTTGAAAAGTTTAATAGTCGAAAGGAAGTTACTAAAAGATTTTGCAGGTATTCTATTGATATCTCATTCTGTAAATAACATTTAAAATTAATTAGATCAATTTGCTTAGTGAAAATAATAACAATAATAAATTGTACAAACTTTGTTATTTGATTCGTAAAAATTAAATCTCTCAAATAGTGATGGTGAACACGTAAAGAAGGAAACTGCCAAACTGTTATTAGATAATAAATATCAATTATCATCTTGACAAATAACTACGCGTTATAAGTAACAAAAGCTTGCCTTTTTAATTGAGGCGCGATCGGTAATAAAATACTAAAAGCATGTGCGACGCATTCGACTCTAGACACTAGACTATTATCATTGGTAGTATCAAACGAATTATCGAAAGTTTCGGCATTTTTATGATTATTTTGTGGTAGTAATAACCATCTCGCGACCAAATCAATTAATAATGGTCGAAAGAAATTTGCGATATGAATGGTAAGATCAGGAATTAATAGTAATTCAGAAACGCAGGAAAATAATGGTGAAATCAGATATTCATTTTTATTATTATCCTCTTCATTATCATTTTCAAAATAGGATATAAATTCCGTTAATATTTTTTGTTGTTGGGTGTTGATAATAAACTGCAATGGATTCTTCGTTTTGATTTCATTGATCTTAGATATTAGCTTCTCTGTTGAAGTAATTAAGTTTGTGAATAATGGGTCAAAAATGCCGGATTCTAGTTTTGTTGTTGATTGGTTAAATTGGGATATTTCATGGTTTTTGAGTGTTTCTTTGTTATTTGAAAGTTTATCCTTGAATGAGCTGTTTTTGGTTTCCATTGTTCAAAATTTATATCTAAATTTGTGCAAGTAACTATTTTGATATTTCTGTATTTACAAAATCAAAAAAAAAACATGGAAATTAATTATGAGTCATATCTAGAAAAATAGATCGGTACCATTTCGCACTTTTGTAAATTTTTAAAACAAAATATCGGAAAATGAAAGAAGGGTGTAACCAACACAAGTTCAAGTCTTTCTTGGCGCGAATCGAGAATATTGATATAAATGTAAGAAAACTTGGTAAACGAAAAACGGAGGAGCTGGAATACGAGGTACTTGAAGTCGAGTTTATTGAGGAAGAATACCTTCTGTGCGTTTGTTATCAGATAACTTTTCATGTTTTTTTTTTTGATAAATAATAGGGAGAAGTTTCCTCCTTCTTCAAAGAGTCCTTAGAGTCCTGGCGCGAGTTAAATCTAACAGCAAACTTTTGTGCTTTCGTCCGAGAAGTTTACGCCCTAAGTGGAACGTTGGTGCAAGTCGTGCACCACGCTGAAGAGATTGTGGTGCTCCTGAAGAAACACCTCCAGATTGAAAATAATATGGCTATTGAGCCATTACTAAGGTATGTAAATTGTCCATTTTTTGATATTATTGGATAAATTAGTTAAAGATGGATTAATTTTGATGGTTTTTTGTATGTATAGTTTAACAGTAAATTTAGCCAAAGATCTCGGAGAGGATTTTTACCCCCATTATGCAAGTGTTCTTACTGTTGTGCTTCGCTTAGCGAAACAACGAGATGCTGATGTCCTTGAGGTATTTATATGTTTGACCATGTAATAGTACATCAAACAATACTCGAGTTTTTGTTATTCTCCATTCTCAATCAATCAACGGATCCGATTTTTAATGATAATGTTATTTGTATTCTTTTTTCTATTTTCAAAATAGTGGACCTTCAATTGTGTCGCTTATTTATTCAAGCTGCTCGTAAAACCAATAACGAAGGACTTGAAGACCACTCATAAGTATGTAAACACAATATTAATCAATATTAATGAATATATTATACAATTTTATATTCTATTTATAAAATAGTCTACTAGCACCATTGCTTGGCGAAGAACATCATGAAGTGTTTATAAGAAAATTCTCGGCACAGGCGTTCTCATTCCTATTAAGAAAAGTGAGCGGGTCTGACCTTGAGGATTTTTTTCAGTACATGTTTCAGTCTTTGAAAGATCAACCGACTCAAGAGTATTATGAGGGGCTTAGTATGCTATATCACGAGACGATAAAGGTAAAAAGAAATTTAAACACATGTTAATTAGGAGAATTAATTATGATTGATATCACTCACGCTTCATTAAAAAATAGTCGGTTAATACACGTCTTCATTCAAAAGCCGTAACCGTGATCCAAACATTGTTATCTGTGCTATATAAAGAGCTGGATATCACTAATTATAAATATAATGATACATTCGATTTCGAATCAAACCTGTCTTTTCGCGTTCTAAAAAACACGATAATCTCAGTAATTCATCACACATCTGCCGAGTACTTTACACCCGTATTGGATTGCTTTCTGGCAGAATTGCAGACACAGGCAAATTATTTACGATCAGAGAACAATCAAGTGGACATGGCACGAATAATTATCAATTTATCGATGTGTTTTGTGTGTGTTGCTACGAAGCAGGGATCGTGCGTTTCGGATATAGAACGCGTCTTCTGTGTGACTCGGAACCTTGCTCCTCATCTAATAATAAAGAACGTACCGGATCAATTGAGTGGTGCCGCGAAAACAGCTCAACAGCAAATAATAAAACTTAGTCTTTCTTTACTTTTGTGGGCTAATCAAAATGTAGTAAAAGTAGCCGGGAAGAAATTGATTAGTCAAATATTTGAGTGTAATGATGTTAATGAAGTACTATTCTTTTCTTTGGCGCTCTCAAAGCACAACTTCGATTACTACCCGTCTCTTATTATCCCAAATATTATTAAGTTCTGCACAAAGTACTGGCAAACTTGTCCCGAAAAATTCATCCTGTTTCTCTCCTACATGATTTCAACTGGCGGTTTCAAAATACCAAAAAATGGCACGACATCACAATTTGTGACTGGTAAAGGATCAATCAAATTCCCAATCAATAATGAATTACCTACACAATTTTTGCAAGTTCTCAGAGAAAATTATGAATGGATTGAAGAAGCAGAATTGTCGAGTTATTTTGATATAAATAAGAGTCTCATTCAGGTTCCGAAGATTTGTCTTGTCGCATCGACGTTACGAATAATCCCTGGACTCGAACTCGAGTTCTCTGAGACAATCAGGACTCTCACCAGTCTGATAAATTCTCTAGTCAAAGCGTTGGAAGACGGCACTTCTTCAAAGTACTCTTCTTTCTCGCCATTGATTGAACGTCAATTCACCCGTGGATCACCATTGGTGATTTTAGAAAATCTATTAGGTCTTGCAATAGAGACTTTTACTAATGTATGTGCACTAGCGGGTAATCAGGGAATTTTGACAATGAATAATCTATGGAAGACAGTTTTTTATCGTGTGTTGATGAAATATAATCATAATGAAGTTATCTTGCGAGCTGTAGAAGGATTTTTGAGTCTTTTACGCACAAGGTAATCAAAATTTTTTGTTATTAATAATCATTGGCAATTTTAAATAAATTACTTACGAATCGGAGATTTTTCTTTTAGTTCGAAAATTTCCAGTCGTTTTTCTTGCGCATTACTAGCTGAAATTTACCCGATTCTCAAAACGAGAATCAATTCATTTGAACATTATCATCGGCTCTATACATTGAAAATCCTCAGTCTCTTTGATCAATATAGTCTTAAGCCGACCGAAAATACAAAAAAGTCAAAAGTGCAAGAAAACTCTATTTCTGTTGATCGACAGCCCTGCGAGATCTTCAAATTAGCATTAGCAGTTGAACAAATCGAGCCCACGATAGACAAATATCGCGAAAAAATAGTGAAGCTAAAGATTATGGTGAACTTGGTCACTTCTGGACGAGTCCCTGCATTTTATGTTGAGGTGTTACCACGTGTTTGTTTGGGATTTTTTACTCACAACATCAGTCCACTTTGGCCCGAAGCAATCAAAGCACTTGTAAAAATTTCACATATATATGAAAAAAGAATATGGAATCTTTTATATTTAGAATTGTCACGGTTCAAAGATCAAGAGAATTTCGCGTATCATAAATTCTCTTCAACGGCTTTGACTTATTATTTCAAAGAGAAGGAGAAACAGAACATGCCGTCGAAGGCTGTAAAGATAATTGGAGGATTGTCATTTGAATGTCCACATCTGAACAAATATAATCAAATAATTAAAGACTCTGAGGCGTTCTTTTCAGCGCGAATGAATAATAGATTCTTGACGCACTTTATCTCTCTCTGTTCACCCAGTACAGAAAGATACGATTATTGGAAATATTATACACTACTTATTAATACCTTGACTGAAGCTCCGCATCTCGCAGAACATGATACCATCAAGGTTGTGCCATTCTTTCTGGAATTCGCATGTTCGGACATGGATACAGTAACCAACTCTCAGGAAAATACAGAAAATAATCCAATCTTTGAAAATATGGACATTGACAAAGAAGAACCAATTAATATATTGCAACGGACACCTAAAACTTGTAGAAATAATCTAATTGCATTTTTACAACTATTTACAAAATTCAAAAATCCGGCAAAAGCACACCAATCAGAGGAGTTGAAAGAAGTTTTAATGCAACTTTTGAGTAACGGCGACCCGCAATTGCAAACACTTTCACTTAATTGTTTATTTGCGTGGAAATCTCAAAATGTAATCCCTTATGAAAACAATCTCAGGAATCTGTTGGATGAAACTAAATTCCGAGACGAATTATCTACATTTTCTCTAAGCAAAGATAAGAATGGTGCTATCAAGCGCGAGCATCGGGAAGAGGTTATAGAGTTGGTACTTCGAGTTCTATATGGACGAATGATTGCGCGAAGGAATAAAGATTCAGCCAAGGCGGGTATGAAAACACGCAGGACAGCAGTTTTGGCGGCATTGAACAATTGTCATAAATACGAATTGAACATATTAATTGATTTGGTTTTACAACCATTCGCGGAAGTTCGTAAAATTCCAGGAGTTGTTAAAAAGCAGTTTTCTTTTATCGAGGATTTTGATATCAGCAAATTTGTATCATCTAAAAAGCAAATGGGGTACCTAAATATGCTCGATGACTTGCTGAGACAATTGGGTGCACACATATCCCTATTTATACCTGATCTTTTTAAAATACTTTTATATATAGTCCACGATGCACAAAAGAAATTGGCGGCTGATATGGATCCGGATCGAATGCACATCATCAATTCACTCAAATCTATTAGACAGCTCGGCTTTAAAAGGATGATTCAATTCTTTGAACTGCCTGGATTCTTCGATTATACTCCATATATGAAAGCGATGTTTGATTCGTTCATATCGCCAAAGATTCCGAAATGGGAGATAGAAAATACTCAAGCACCTTCTGCACTAATGGAGCTTTTTGCAACTTGGTCATCTCGAAAGGAATATCTTGTATTTTTTACAGATTATAATAATGATGTTCTACCGAAACTGTTTGCTTGCCTTAGTGCAAAAAAGGTGCAACGTTCGGTATATTCGATGATTTTAGAGATTATCGAAAATATCTTAAAAATATGTGACAACGACGAACCTGAAGACATAGAAAATTTTTTAACAAATAAAATATGCTATGACAAAGGTCTCATCGACGAACTAGCAGATAAAATGTGCGACGATGCAGATCCGGACAACACTGAAAATTCGTTGACCAATAAAGTATTGATGCCGCACGTTTCATCACTATTTGATCATCTCGAGTTTGTCATATCAAACTCATCATTACCTCAAAAAGATAAGTTTGCAAAGCGGGAAATCACCATACTGTCACATATTGCTGGATACGTGAATGATTCGGAACAAGCGAAAAGATTAATTGAGCTTTTGATGCCGTATTTACGCAAGCCAACATGGATTATACAAGAAAAAACTAAATTAGATATTCTCTGCATCTTTTTGAATATTGGAAGCTTGATACCTGGATTCATCAAAAACGGTCGATATTATAATTTTATTTCTGAACTTCTTGGTATTATTGACAACAGAGAATGTAGAAACATGCTTGTCTTAATCTTCAAAGAGTTTGCAAGCAGAGAACCTGAATTAAGCCTAGCTGCAGGACTCATCTCCGATCTCAACAGCTATTCAATTAATCATTTAGATACTCCAGATTTTGACACACGTCTAAAAGCTTTCAATCGAATTAACTCGGAATTATATGGGAAGCTTAGAGTTGTCGAGTGGACCCCGATGCTTTATAATTGTCTACATTTCGCCCAAGATCCGGAAGAACCATCAATTCGGAATAATGCATCATTCACATTGAAGCGATTCATAGATCGTCTAAATGAGAATTTTGTAGATGATACTGAAAAATCGAACTTTAATTCAACAATGATTAATATTCTATTTCCGGGCATTAAGCGAGGTCTAAAAAACAAATTCGAAATTGTTCGCGTTGAATTTTTATCGATTCTTTCACACGCCGTAAAAAATTGCCCAAATCTTCCACAGTTCGCAGATATGCAATGTCTATTGTTTAATAACGATGAGGAGGCCAATATATTTAACAATATCTATCATATTCAAATTCATCGTCGAATTCGAGCTCTCACTCGATTGGCTAATGAATGCGCGGCGGGGAAATTAAACAATACCACTCTATCACAGATATTCCTGCCTTTAGTCTCGCATTTCATCTTCGAGGCCGATAAAGTTACAGATCACAATCTTATTAACGAAACGATCACCACATTGGGAACAATTTCTTCACAATTATCATGGCGAAATTATTATTTGCTCTTGAAGCAATTCTTGAAGCTGACATCTCATAAAAAGGATTTGGAGAAAATTCTTGTGCGTGTTGTCATTTCAATTCTGGACAATTTTCAGTTTAATATTTCATCGGCAAAAGTTACTTGTTCTCAAGTTGAATCCGACGCGACGCCTTTAAATGACGCAACTAGACAAAATAATCAAGACATTGATGAAAATGAGGAGGAAAATGGAATGGTAATTGAAGAAGATAATCAAGGAATGACTGAAAATTCGGTTGCTGACAAAATACATGACACCGTTGTCAACTTTATTTTACCCGAATTGAAGCAGTATCTGACTCAGCGTGATAGAGAAAATATCACGATACGAGTACCTATCGCTTTAGCAATTACCAAACTCTTAATTACTTTGCCAGAAGCTTCCTTACGTATAAGCTTGCCTGGATTACTTACCACCGTTTGTCAAATTCTTCGAAGCCGTAGTCAGGACGTTCGTGATACGACTCGAAACACACTAGTCAAGATTTCTAACCTCCTTGGACCCATGTATTTTTCATTTATAGTCAAGGAACTAAAAGCTGCACTCACTCAAGGTTACCAATTACACGTTCTCGGCTATACTCTACATTCACTCCTCCTCGATTTAGTACCTATACTAGAAGTAGGCGCGATTGATTACTGTGTCTACGAGGTTACAGAGATATTGATAAATGACGTTTTCGGCGAAGTAGGTCAAGAGAAAGATATTGACGAGATTACGGGGAAGACAAAAGAAATGAAATCAAAAAAGAGCTTTGATTCTTTTGAGTTGTTAGCAAAAGTTATCGAGTTTCGAAATATTGACGTTCTGTTATTGCCATTGAAAAATATTATGAGAGAAACTCAGAACGTTAAAATTCTTAATAAGGTGGATGAAGTCTTGCAAAGGATTTCTAGTGGTCTTAATGCTAATACGAATATTCCAATCGTGGAAATGATGTCTTTTTGTTCTGGTCTCATTTCCCAAAATTTAGAAATGTTGCAAGATGAACGAAAAACTAAAGTAAAGAAGACCAATCTTGAGGAAAATTTCACTGTTCAATTGAGACAAGAGTCAATTGTACGAGTTCCAGTCGATTATCTTTTCTTCAATGGCTGTAAATTTGTGGAGTTTGGATTTCGATTATTGTTGGTGGCTCTTAAACGTGGCAAGGTGGACACAAAATCCGACGAACATTTAAAACAACTGGATAAATTTGTGGACATTGTCGGTGATGCTATTTACTCGAAACACACAAGCATTAATATACTCGCATTAAAAATTATGTGTGTCATGTGTAAATTGCCGTTACCATCGCTTCAGGGTGCTTTTCTTGTCCTCGACACTCGATTAGTAAAGCTCGCTAGTGATTCTGATGCTAGCACCGAACTTGTCCAAAATTGTTTCCGTCTTTTGACCGTCTTAATACGCGATTGCCAGCAACAATTTAACATAAAATTGAATGAATTAAAATATCTGGTAAATCTTATTCTACCGAATATCGAGGAACCAGAAATGCAACCAACTCAATTTCCTTTAATTCGCGCTATTATATCTCGAAAATATTTGTTGCCTGAAATATACGAGTTAATCGACAAGCTAAAGGAAATCATGGTCACAAGTCAAAGTGCAAATGTCCGAGAACAATGTCGAATAATTTTTTTCAACTTCTTGTTGGATTATCCACAAAGCGATACACGACTAAAGAATGAAATGAACTTTTTGGTCGCTAATCTCGAATATACATACGAGAGTGGTCGACAATCCGTCTTGGAAATGCTTAATTCTATACTCTTAAAATTCCCTGTTGAAATTACAAGAGAATATCTTCAGAGACTATTCTTGTCCTTATCTTTGCGATTAGTAAATGATGAGGCAAAGAAATGCAAAGAAATGTCGGGTGAGTTAATAAAAATGATGCTTCGGATAATGAGCGAGGATCAACTGGATAAGACTATTAGACTGTTGAATAAATGGTTTGACCAGAATGATCAGCCAAATTTCCAAAAAATGTCATCTCTTGTATACGGGCTTTTGATTGAAGAATTCAATCTGAAATCAAATCGATATATACCCGAATTACTTGTACGATTGGCAACAATATTAACTGCAAGTCGAGACCGATTAAAGGCGATCGAAGAATCAGAGGACGAAGAAATAGAAATGTTCGACTGGGAAGTTGTACATTACTCGTTGGGCGCTTTGACAAAGATAATGCAAATATTCCCGACGCAAGTCTACACAGAGTATTTCACTCCTTTATGGCCATTAGTGCATGAACATTTGTTACATCCTCGCAAGTTGATTAGACTTTCTTCAAGTCGAATATTCGGCAGATATTTTGCAAACATTGATCCACAAATATTCGATAAAGACAAAACTTTTTCATACGTGACACCAGCAATTCTGAAGGATTTGGTGGTGATGTTTTGTGAGCAGCTCAAAAGCCAATACCTCTCTACTGAGCTGGCTACGCAAATAGTCAAGAACCTTTTCTTTATAGGAAAATGTTTCTTTTATATGCGTCACGCTACTACTCAAACCGAATTGGAAGCAGAAACTGATGTTGAAGCAGCAACTATAAATATTAATGAGGAAAATGAAAGGAATCAGGAAGCAAACTCTTTGAGATGGCTTTTTAATAAGCTCTCTTATCAAGCGAGATCAGCTTCCACCAAAACATCAGAAAACATCATACAGGTACATATAAATAAACATAATTCTTGACTTCTTTTTGTAGCAGCACAAATTTATATTTATTTATTCTAGTTACAAAGCGTTTTCAAATGGTTTGCATCAATGGTGATATTCATGCCTCCCGAATCTCTGTTAAACCCCGACCTGGTACTTGTCATCTCTCCGATATACCGTCTAATAAACGACCAATCGCTACACGGCGAAAAACCAGAATCGCTACGCAACCTCGGCCAAGAAGTTCTTACGCACGTACAAAATCACGTAGGCACAACGTTGTATCATAATGCCTACAATCAAGTTCGTAATCGAGTCGCAGAAGTCAGAAAAGCTCGAAAAGAGCAAAAAGCTATAAAGGTAATTAACTATTCGCTCATTTTCAATGTTTTTCATTTGATTTAACCTTGTTACTTAAAAACTTTAGAATTTGGTTGATCCGGCAGCTGCAGCTCGTAAAAAAACTAAAAAAAGGGAAAATGAAAATAAATCCAAAAAGAGACGGAAATTGGACAATTATAATAATAAAGAAGGGAAGCAAAACTTTCTGATCATTCAAAATATTTGATAAAAAAATCGTGGCTATGCATAATACATAATTATCGATATATAGCCATAATACTTACACCTAGTAATACTCATTTCATAAAAATAGTTGAATAATATAAGGTCACCGAAAATAATTGAATAAATATGATACTATGAAGCCAATTTTTTATTAACATGGTGCAAAAGGTCTAATACTTTGAATTTGCATCCTAACATTTTAATCAAAAAATTATGTTAAATAATCTTTGATAAGAATTAGTGTATACAACCTAGTTACATAAATAAAATTTTGATCAACTTTAAACCACTTGTACAAAATACATGTATCTAAAAAAACTCTTCATATATCTATAAAATAGCTTACTAGCTTCCAGTTTATGAAAGCTGATTTTAGTTTGCTTAATTCAAAGTTCACTTTTCATATGGTGCCGACACCTATATCGCTATTAATTTGAGACCGCTCATAAGTCACATGGCTAAGCAGAACCACCCACAGCAACCAATCAAAAAATCCCAATATAATCACATGACATAATTTGTGGCTTAGGCACATGATATTTTTAAATCTTGTCAAAAAGTATATTACATGTAAAATTTTGCGCTGAATATTTTTGTTTAAGATCAAAAGATAATTATTATAGTAAAATTTTGAGTTATTTATAATTTTTTTATTTTTTGTTATTTGTTTTGCATTTTTATCAAATAGCAAAAAAATATTCATTTTTAATTGATTTATATATATTATAACTTAATTATATAGAAAAATAAATTTTACAAATTGATAACTTTTAGTTAAGTTACAAATTTGTAAGATGATTTTTTGATTTTTTTTATTTTGAAGAAGTTATATAATATATCAAACTTTTCTAATTTACATAATTATTAGAAAAATGGAGCAGAATTTATCACAAAATCATAATTTAATTGGTTGATATCATTATAATTTAAATTAATATACAAATAATACTAAGTCAATTCAAATAATATGATTTTTTATTATTTATTATCTATTTAGTTCTTTTATTATTTATTCTTGTACAACTTTTTAATAACAAGATTATTAAAATACAAATAGTTACAAAAAAGAGCAAAATAATTAATTTGTATTTATAAATTATTTTTTTTTGTTTCTTGAAATACTATTTTTTTTCTTTTAAATCTAATTGAAAATTTGCATTTATTTATTCTTTAAATATTATATTATTTAAGAATTTTGTTGATTTTGAATTAAGTAAAAAACATAAAAATAATAATACTTGATTGAATAATAATTTTCAAAACAATAATTTCAAAAAATATGATAATTTTCAAGATAACAATAAGCTAAATAATAATAAAAAGACAAATTCAATTATTAATTATTAATCATCTTCTTTATATTGGTAATTTGAAATAAATACAATGAAAAAAATTAAATATTAAAAAAAACTTGAAAATTTCATATTTTTTTGTGTTATTAATAAAAATAATAAAGACTTGCAAAAACTAAAAAGATTTATTATATAACAGTTTTTATTCAATTGTTACTCAATAAACAAGCAAAAATAGTTACAAAATAATTAATAATAATTTATAACTTGTAAAATATATCAAAAACTAAACAAATATTTATATAAAAGCTAAGCTTTTTCTATTTTATTTTTTAGAATAAAATAATTAAATTTATTTTCAAATAAAAAAATTAATTTAATTAAGTTTTTGAAAAAAATTCTTTATTAAAAGCTTGCTTTATACTGAATTAATTAATTTATAATTGATTATTATTTTAGTTTTTTAATTAGTATTTATATAGAAAAAGATCTTTTAATAAAGAGTTATAAAAGAAATTATATTATTAATGAAAATTATATTTAATAAAAATTATGAGTTTAAAATAATTTTATTAATAATATTTCTTTATTAATATAATTTTTACTATTATTATCTATATTAATATTTTATAATATAATTAGAAATATTTTTAAATACAAATAAAAATAATTATTTCTTTTTATAATTAAGATAATTTTTTTAAAACATTCAAATATAAACAAAAATATTCTAAATATTAACAAAAAAATTTAAATTGATATTTTTCTTATAATATTAATTTAAAAAAGTTGAAAATACAAAATTTTGCAATTAATTATATAATTAGAAAGCTTTTATTATTTATTTATATATTATTAAAAGATAAGTTTAGCTAAAAAAACATGAATAAAAGTTAATTAAATTTTTAAATAAATAGTAAAAGCTTTTTAATTATATAATTAATTGCAAAATTTTTGTATTTTTAATTTTTTTAGATTAATATTATAAGAAAAATATTAATTTAAATCTTTTTATTTATATTTAGACTATTCTAAAAAAATTATTTTAATTATAAAAAGAAATAATTATTTCTATCTGTATTTGAAAATATCTCTAAATATAATATATTATACAAGTAAATAATATAAAAATTATAAAATTATTAAATTATTTTAAGTCTAAAACTAAAATTAAATTAATTTAAAACTTAATTAAGTTGAATTTTACTCTTTATTTACAAAATAAAATACTATTTTTATAAAAAATAATTATTATAAAAATATCAAAATATTTATAATACTAATTATAAAAATATCAAAATATCAAAATATTAAATATCAAAATATTAAAATATCTATTATACTAATTAATAATATAAATATTTAATAAAATATGAATAATTATAGATTAATAAGATAATAAATATTAAAAATATATTTGTAATATAATATTATTCAATAAAAATATAGATAATAAAATATAATTACTTATTTATATATTTAAAATTTAATATTTAATTTGTTCAATATATTTTGATCTGAATTGCTTTTTAATAAATAAACTAAGAATAATCTTTAAAATAATATTATTTAATTAAATAATTTGCTAAAATTAACTTACTAAAATTAAATCTAAAATTATTTAATTAATTTTATTAGTAACTGAAATTATTTTCTGAAATTACTTGAATTTTACAAACTAAAACAAGTATTTTTAGATAATTTTTAAGTATTCATTAAGATAAATAATATAACAAAATTGAATTACTTGTCAAAATATTATTTTTTTCAAAATAATTATTTTTAATTCAAATTTGATTTTTGTTATTAATATTATTAAAAAAATATTTATATAAATAAATATATTATTATATATAATTATATTATAAAAATTATTAATTCAGTAATTATAATATTTTATAAAATTATAAAAATCATGCAAATATTTTTCTAATTATATTATATATTATTTTTTATTACTTTTATTCTTATATTTTTTATTTTTATATTATAACTTAATTTATTATTATTTATTTTTCTATTTATCTAATTATTTACTTTTCTATTTTTTTACTTATTTATTTTTCTATTTATTTATTTATTTTGATAAATATATTTTAGCCAGTCATAAATTTTTAAAATATATATTTATTTTTATTTTTTTACTTTTTATATTTAATAAATTGGATTTTATTTTTATCTTTTATATTCTTTTCTTATTTTTAATATTATATTAGTATTTGTAAAAAATATATAAATATAAATTATAATTGAGTTTTGACTTAATATGTTAGAATTTGAAAATAAATAATATAATAAAACAAATATTTTTTTAATACTTATACAATTTATCTTTCTCTCTTAATTATATACTTTAAAACTTATAAACAAGTAACTTTGAATTATATTCAAATATTATTATTGAATTATTAAATTAATATTTTGGTTATTAACTAAGTTTTTTGATATTTTTATTATAATTAAATTATTTAACATCTCTTAACTAAAGATATTATAATTTTTTTCTTGTAAAAAGAATTAAGTAAAAGAGTTTTCGTTATTTTTGTTATTTGTTTAACTTTGAAATATATTTATACTAATATAAAAAATTAGTTTATTAAAGTTAAAATATTATTAATTAATTAATTAGAATATCTTATTTAACTAGTATGATTAGTTATAATATTATAAAACTTTATTATTTCATCTCTTATATATTTATATTTTTTCTTTGAATTATATAATTTCAGTAAAAATTAATATAGAACTTAGATATATTTTTCTTATTATTTAATTTTCTCTCCCAATCTTTGTTTATATTTATTAATAAATTTTATGATTAGTGAAAATATGTAATAATATATAAATAATCAAATATAATAGTTTATTTTTTTTCAAAAAGTTATTGAGCTTAAAAATAGAGTAAATAACATTATTAAGTTATAATATTTCTATTTAATTAGTTCTTGAATAGAAACTCTGTAATTTGATAATATTATGCACTCTATTTTTAATTAATTTATATTCAAGTAACTTGATAAAAATTATAAAATAAAAAAGAGCATATATAGTGCTCATTATATGTATATAATGAGAAAAATGTCTTTTTTATTTTGGCATTATAAAAACTGCTTGAAAATATATAAAAATTTATAGATATATACTTTAATATATTTTCTTAAGACTACTTAATAACATATCTTATTTTTATTATTGGCTTTTTTAATATTTTAAGTTATCTTAAGAAAACTTGTTTGCATAAATATTAGTTTAGTGTCCAAGTCTCTAAAGTGAACAGTCACTTTGCCATTTTCTGAAAAGTGTAATACTTTAAACTACTTAATTTAGTGAGCTATTTGAATTTTCGTCCGGCTATCACATGAACCATTTATGATTAGCTGAATTTCTTCATGTAAAAATACATGATTGTAAAAAATCACTAATTATATGTATATTCCACGCGCTGCATTTTTTATTGGCTTCATGTGACTCATACCTGCAGTAAAACAAATCCGACACCGGAAAATGAAAAATGCGAAAAAACGTTGGGAAGGAAATTTTACATAATACATGTATTAACTCTCACGCTCACCATCTTTGTCAATTCGAAAGAAGGATAGTTTTTTATCATCAATCTTTTTGTTATTCATAATAGTGAAAGATTGAACCGAAAGTAGCAGGAAAAGCATATGTCAGCAGCAAAAAAATTCGAATTATAGTTCAAGAGAATAAAAGATAAACTATCGAAACAACATTGTTGCTTACAATAAATGAATATTACCATTACTATATCGAGATCTACTAAATGGTGATCAAATTCATCTTCACGCTACTCACTAAGCTATAAGAGGGTGATCCCACCAAAGAACGCACGGACGGCATGTTTCTTTTTTGTGATTTTTATTTTACATAATCTGATGATTTATGAGCTAAATTTTGTTTTGTGTAATGTAATAATGGATAAAACAGCAACGCATGAATTTAAAGGAGAATTTACATATGATTTGGACAGCCTATCGATCTTGACTACCTAAAAAATACAGTGTATCCATTCAAAGAAGAACGAAAACCCCTTATCTAAATACATCACGTTTTCTGGATGAAATGCTCCATCCACTCCATTCTATTTGTGTTCTCATATTTACATATATATAAGTATGCGTTTTTCATTTCATTTGATTTTTTCTCAACCAGAAAAAAGAAAAATGACGAGAAATTTATCAATACTCTAGTTTTGATCTATTTTTTGCTTGCTTTTTGCTTTGCTTATGAGTTGTTATTTTCGCGTATTTATTTTTTTCTAAATATTTCTCGATGCACAAATCCCAGAGATTAGAGCTCAAGACCCAAAAATTATATAAATAACCTTTTACGATTACGATTAATATCACTATTAATATCATTTACTATTATATTTCATATCACTATCAATATTTCTTCCATTAGTGTTTTCATTAACAGATAATTAATACTTTTTATATATAACATACACACATAACAACAACCGCAATAGCAAAAAGCAGCATTTAACGACAAAAACAAGATTCCACCATTCATTCATACATATACACATATATAATATATACACACATATAAAAAATGGATCATTCGTGGTGTCCAGTCTGCGATAATCACATTTTCGCTGTGGAGAACTTATATTGCAGCGAATTCTGTCGACAGAAAGATGCTCAACCATCATCGTCATCGCCATCAATAATAACGAAGCCATCGATATACGATTATACCAAAGATTCATTCTATGAATTTCCAAGATGTTCTCGAAAACCACATCAATCTCCATACTCGACACCTGGATCATCACCTTACACTTCTCCATTACTAACGCATTCTCGAACGTCGTCATCATCTTCGTATTTTGATCCAAAAGAAGATGAATACTATTCATCGTCACCGTCGAATTATCTTTATTCCTCGGAAGATGACTTAAGCATGTCACTGCCACCCGCAAATTTCCCATCGGAATCTTTTTTCAATGCGGCTCCAATAACGAATCCTGCATTATCAATGTTTAATACTATAACCACGACAACATCAGACTCATCAAAACCATTACGAAAAAAACGGTCGCTTACTGATAATATCAGGCGCCTATTTTTCTTTTGAATAAAAGTGTTACTTTAAGTCCTTGATGAGTATAGTACTTAGTAGACTTCTTAAGTCAACTAGCTCGGCGTTGGACTCTAAGAGAGGTTTTCAATTTAAAGAGGATTTTTTCTTTATAAACCTATATGATTCTTGCTGCCAAATTTTGTCGATATAAAGATTTCGTCTTGGAGAGGATTCGACTTACTCTGTATATATTAATGTTTAGGATAATTTAATGAATTTTTTCTTATAGTAATTGTTTATCGCTCCACAATTCTTGCTCTTCTTCTTCTTTTTGTTCTTTATCCTCGAATGATTTCTTTGTTCGCTTCTGCTAATATATAAACATGTAGGATACATTTGCTAAAACGCATTTTGATAATCGCGTAATAGTAATTTCAATAAAAAATATATTCAAAGTCCTTTACAACAGCACTGTATACATCGGATTCGGCTTATACCGTATTGATATCCTGATTTTTAACTATTTAAAACTCACTACAGTCGTCCCTCGCTGTTATCAACATCATGGGACCAGGCTATTTTGTTGGTATATGAGGGTGGGTAACTATGGGGTTTAGAGTTAATACAGTCAACTCTCTCTATACCGAACTGAACGGTTCCAATAGTAAAAGTTCGTTATAGAGCAAATTACTATGTTTTTTATAACGAACTTATAACAAATTTTTACAAAAAAATTCGTTATAGAGTGTATTCGTTATAAAAAGGTTCGTTATATCCAGATAATCTAGTATCATTTGAAATCTGTTCTGCTAACAACGGGGTGTTGATATTATCGGGGTTGGGTCTGACTGTATATACCGAAGCTTATAATATAAGTACTATATACCGACCCAAAAGTGCCAAACCAATGCGACCATTGTAAAGGACTTTGACTGTAATAGAATGTTACTACTAAGTACAGATGGCGACCAAAATTATGCGGACACTTTATAAAGTAAAATAACGCAAAATCTAATGAAAAAATCTTATTCCATTTTATTTTTATTGACCATAGATTAGTACTTGGTTTCGATTAGACGTTAAATTTTTATAAATAAAACAGTCACTTTTGGACGTGATATCTTGTTATCCAGGATCAAATACTACAATTTGATCCTTCTGGATAAGCTAAATCAAATGGTGGTATTTACGTTCAAGTGACTATATCATTTTTTTTAAAAAGAATCTTTTTTCTAGTGAACTTTTTTGGTGCCAGAAGTCATAACTAGACAATCACGTGATTCTATTCAATTTCCGATCGGGAAGTCTACGGACAGTGCATAGGGACAGTGCAAAATCATGTGATCTTTCCGGTCCAGTGTCGGACAGTACTTA